AGACCACATCTTTTTTTATCTTATCCTTGGTTGATGGGTATTTGGGTTGTTTCCAAGCTCTAGCTGTTACAAATTGTGCTTCTAGAAACGTGGTTCACATATATCACAGTGGTATGATGTTTTTAATTCTTCTAGAAGGATCCCCAGAAGGGGAATAGCTGGGCCAAATGGTAACTCCAACCCTAGTTTTTTGAGGACTCTCCACACTGATTTCCACAGTGGGTGCACCAGTTTACACTCCCACCAACAGTAGAGAAGGGTTCCTTTTTCTCTACAACCCCTCCAGTATTTGTAATTGGTTGATTTCTTGAAGATAGCCATTCTTTCCAGGGTGAGATGAAGTCTCAGTGTTGTTTTAATTTGCATCTCTCAAATGACCAGTGATACAACTTTAAGTCTTAATATCAGTTCCTGTGAGGGGGGCAGTTGCCTATGGAAACATCTCCACAGCCCTGCTTTAACCTGAACTGGTTTAAACTGACATAGAAGAAGGGCCAACTGTTGTGCCTTTCCTTTCTGCATAGGCAAGTTAAAATGCCTCCAGTACACAACCACGTCTCCAACCTCTCTCAGAGCTGTAAGAGAAAGGACACAGGTGGGGTATTGGAGACCGGCATGTAGCTGCAACATGGGTCATACTTCCCAGTAAGGAGCCTGAGGAGCACTTGCCAAGGTTGCACAGGATGGGAAGGGGGTGCAGGTACAGCAAAGGATGAGAGATGGAGATGCGTCCCTTGTCACCAGATCTCCCCACAAGGCTGTGGAGTGGTACAGTCAGGGTTGGGAGGAGGTCAGCAGGCAACACTGTCTTCTTCATGGAAAGAGCCTTTCTGAGTCTGCCCCACCTACCTGTGCTGTGATGCTCACAGTGTGGCTCAGTGGAAGGACAGGATGACCAACCAGAAAGCAGACATTCCCAGACTCTGCAACCAGCAGCCTATGTCTCTATCTTCAGTCTTCTTGTTTATGTAACTACTGGACTGACCATAGGGGTCAGGACTGGAAAGGAGGACAGGTTCTTGCATGATTAGGCACAGCAGGTGAACCTCACCCCTGCCAGGGAGGGCTGGTCGGTCCACACTCCATGAGATACTGGGGAACCACTTGCATTGGAACCCAGCTCAGAGGTCACCTGTGTGATGTCATCCTGAACAGCCCCAGACCTATCTGGATGTCCCCCCCAGCACTCTAAGATAAAAGTGTGAGGACCGGTGAAGCTCTCACACTCCAGAGCTACATAAGCCTGGTTCAGCCACTTAGTAGTCATATGACTCTGAGTGTGTCTGTTCTACAGTTTCCTAGTCTATGAGATGGAGGTTCAAAACAGTGCTGTTCACATGAAGGCACTGTGAAAGTGAAGTGAATTTTACATGTGTTTAAACATGGCTGAACATTTGGCAACAGCCAAAGGTGGAAACAACCAAAGCGTCTGCTGTCTGCTGTCTGCTGCTGAGTGAATGGGTGAGCAAAATGTTGAACAGTGTATCCATGCAGTGCAATAGCATTCAGCCTTTTAAAAGATGCCATTCTGATACACAGTGCAACATGGATGAACCCTGAGGCCATGATGCTAAGTAAAATAAGCCAGGCACACGGGAACAACCTACAACTCCACTTATACGAAGGATCTATGACATTCTAATTCATAGAAGAAGAAAGCAGAAGGCAGGCTGCCAGGGGCCAGGGAGAAGGATCAAACGAGTTAGTGTGTAGAGGGTGTGGAGTGTCAGTTTGTAAGAGGAAAACAGTTTTGTGGCTGATGGTGGTGATGGATGAATAGCAGTGTGAGTGCATTTAACACCACTGAGCTGTATACTCAAAGGTGGTGAAGATGAAAAATTTTGTGTTATGAGTATCGTATCACAATTTGAAATATAAATATTTTTATAAGTGCCTGGCATTTAATAATGCATTGAGTGTGCTGGCTGTGAATAGGAGCACATGGTCTATGACTGAGTCACGCAGCCCCTGCCTCTAGGTGACAGACAGCCCTGGGAAATGAGCACCCATAAATGGCAAGCGGAGAGTGAACCTGAACTCATAGGCAATGGTAAAAGGAGTGGGAGGACCAGGCAGTCAGAAGTGCCCCTCCAGGAAAGGTAGAGAGGGATAAAACCTGCCCCGATGAGCCAAGACAGAGGTCCATTATGGGACAGATAGAGAGCATGCAGCACTTCCCTCCTTAGGCCCTTGCATGAACCCCGCACAATCCCTATAGTCTCCCCAAGTCTTCCTATCTGAGTGTTCCGGAGGCAGCTGTCACACAGAGGTGGTGCATACTGGAGCTGCAGGTGGAGAGACCAAGGCATAGCCTCTGAGGACAGGCTCTCACCCAGCTCTGCAGTTTCCAGGGATCACCTGGAAGAGGCCTGAGGCATGCATGTGAGTACAGAATGGCCCCTGGGTCCACCTGAGTCCTGTGGGACCACCTACACCATCCTCTATCAGGTACAGGTTCCACCTGCAGAGGAAGGTGCTGCCTCCTATTTGGGACACTCAGGCTGGGAGGAAGAACATGCACCAGAAAGGTGGTGACCATGATGCAGGGGGTCCTGGTTTCTCTTTCCTGTCAGAGCTATAGTTCTGAGACCATATGGGGAATGGCATGGATAAGGCAATGGGCTCTAGACAAGTAGGCTTGGAGAGAAGGAACAAAGCCAGGGTCAGTCACACTTAACTCAGAAAGAGCGTGGCTGAGGCTGGCAGCTAGCCAGCTGCTATGGTTCATACCTGGACATTACCTCTGAGCTTCATGCTCTCAGAGGCAAAGCTTTTGGAAGAAGGCTGGACTATGAGGTGACATAGACAACTTCTTGTTAGGAGGTGGGGTCCAGTCAAAAGAGTTCAGCCACTGGGCAATGATGCAGAAGGATGGGTCTCCCTTGTGACTCCTCCCTTCTCTGACTGCTTCCTGGCTGCCTTGGTGTGAGCATATTTCCTCTGCTCAGGCCCTTGGACAGGCTGCATCTGCCCTGGAGCCAGCCAACCATGGACTATAAATGTGCCAAAGTAAATGGCTCCTCTTTTAAATTGTGAGTGTCAAATATTGTTTCCCAGCAATGGGAAAGTGACTAAGACAGATTTTGGTACCAGAGAAGTGGAGTTATTGCTGTGACTCTACCTGGTATGTGGTTCAGAAGCTTTCTGAAATGGTTCACTGGAGGAGTTTGGAAAGCTTTGGAAATTCTGGGAAGAGAAGCAGCCCTAAGGACCCAGGAAGGTAGCTCCGTGGTAAAGCTCTTGTCTAGCACTTGTTGAGGCCCTCAGTTCAATTCCTAGCACTGGAAAAAAAGAAGGAGAGGAGAAGGAGAAGGAATAGGAGAAGGAAAAGGAGAAGGAGAAGAAAGAAGCATCCCTAAACTGGTGTAAGACAAATCTCAGCTTTTAACGAGATTTACAATGACATGAGCAAAAAGCTCATTTTGAAAGCTTTTGGCTGCATCACAAGGGAAACAATGTGTAAAGCTGGAGCAGAAGGGAGCTTGGTTATTGAAAAGATTAGCATTAAAAGACTCCAAGTACTTCTCCTCAGGACAATAGAGCTTGAGAGCATGTGAGGGATCAGTAAGACCCCATACTTGAAGGCTAAGAACTGTAAAAGTAAGACTTTGTTTTGAGAACACCACCCCAGGACACTCTACCCAACAAGGCCTAATAGAACCACCTAGACAATTGGTTCTTCAGGATTCAGTTCACAGTGCTCAGCCACCCAGACACTAAGAGTCTGGTGGGGCCAGGAACCAAGGGGACCTGGCAACTACTGGAGCTGGCCCCATGTCTTAGTGTCATCCACATGGTGCTGGTTTTACAAGCTTGTGGAATACAAGAGTTAGAGGGTCATGAAGCCTTCCACCCAAATTTGAGAAGGCCTAGGTGGTAAGACAGTGTGCCCTGAAAGGGTAGTGTGTGAAGTTGTGAGAATGAAGCTGAACATGTTGAGAGATACCAGGAAGTTGGAGTTTCCAAGAACATGAGACATTAGCTGAGGAAAGCAGCAGGCAGTGAGCAAAGCTATCAAGAGAGAATGCACTGGGGCTTCAACAGCAGGTACCCTAGGGCCTCAGTAGGTAGTGTCATAGGGACAGGGCCATGCAAACCATTTGGAGTTCAAATGTCCCAAAACGTACCCCAGGTGCTGGATAGTATAGAGGACATACTTCCTTCCCAAGCCTAAAGTGTACCTGGGGGTGGCAGGGGAGGTGGCACATGACAAAACTGAAATCTGCTAGGTTTCTGGAGTAGCTACTGCTTTCCTCATAAAGACAAAGATGAAGAATTAAGTCTCTTTCCTCCATTTCACCACCATAAAACTACGTATACCACCTGGAGCTAGAACAGCCACTTTGTGACTGTGAGAAAAGGCCAAATTCTTCACAGAGATGCTAACTCTGTTGTCATTGAGTCACTAAACCAGTACTTGGCTATTATAAGAGAAGTTAATAGGGAAAAAAATAGCAAGGGCATTAGAGATAAATTTTGTATTACATTTCTCTATCAGGAAACCTACTCAATATCGCAGAAGAGTAGCAATTCAGTGAATTGCTATACACAAGGAACCACAACAGGCAGGTCTGCCTTCCCACCCTCCAAACAGAAACTAGAGTAGGACTTTCTCCTCTAAGTACTCCTGTACCTCCACTCCCACTCCCAACCCTGTAGTTTCAACAGAATCTTACTGTTAGTTTTTTTGGCGCAGATAAAAATAGAGCAAAGTTAAAAAATGCCTTTATTGCAGGCATGGAGAAGACCACAGCAGAAAGGAGGGATATGGAGCTTCTGAGGACCTGGCCAGAGAAACAGGGGCTATATAGGGCCAGGTTAGGGGTGGGGTTTAGAGGATGGTCTGTGTGACTTGGAGGGCAGTGATTAGATAGGTGGCGGGAAGAGAGAAACTGGATGTTGTAAAAAAGGAAGTAAGAAGCTATAATATGACCTGGGAGGAGGAGGGCTGAGCTTGCCACATGGCCTCCAGTGGGCCTAACAATATTAGCTCACCACCATGACAGCTTAGCAGAATTTTTATTAAGGCAAAAAAATCATCACTTATAGGTTCTGCTAGTACTAAGGGTGGATCAACATGCTTTATTAATACATGTAGAGAGTACAGGTTATCTTCATGTGGACACATAGCAAGTTGACAGCAGTCCAGTACCAGTTTAACATGCTGGCAGCTTCCAGCAGCCTTGGGAGACTTCCTTACAGCCTTCCACTCTCCTCCCTGAGGCAGCCAACCTCTGCACACCAAACTGCCACAGGAGCCAGGCCCCGGCTTTGCTTCTCTGTGTCTCATGGCCATGTTTAGGTCAACTTGCCCTCCTGGAAGGAGGGACACACTTGCCACTTCTTTTCCTTGACAGCACCTCCCCTGGGCATCACCTCTCTGCAACCTTGCAGAATCCAGCCCATGTATGGTCTCATGCACAGAAATTTCATATGTCCTTAAAATTCCCCACCACATCTCATCTCTGTCCCTTCCTCTCCCTTGTTCCTGGACATGGGTTCTCAGGGTCACCATGTCTGCCACCCTCACTTTCTCTGCCTGTGGACCATTCTGCCATAGTGTGTCTGGAGCCACCCTACGCCATGCCTCTCTAAACAAGTTCAGACGATGTTTGCTAGAATCAGTGCAGAGCTGGGGTCTGCATGATGCTAGGAGTAAAGTGTGAGCCAGGAAGGGAGGAAGGCAGTGGGGGTGCAGATGAAGGACCAAGCCTGTGCCGTAGAGCTGAGAGTGAGGGACTCTGCCCTGCCAAGCCCATGGACATCTGGTACATGGGATTGGCCGGGAGTTGAGAAATCTGGCTTCTCACTCCAACCCTATATGTCTCTTGGGAACTCACTCGGCTTGCTTCCTGGGCTATAAAAACATGGAAAAGCCTTGGTAATTCTGAAAAGCTGTTCAGGTTCTGAGCCCCTCGAACATTAATATCAGTGTATTAATTTGTGCAAAATCTTTTACTTCTTCAAGCAATTTTGCATCTATGACTTCCTGCTCCTAAAACTTTCCTATAAATGGTTAGATGAAACCCTCTTCCTCCTACTCATGAGTAGGGAGCATGAGATCCAGGGAAGTGGCAGGGTTGGGATGAGAATCCTGGTCCTCTGACTCTTCTGAGTGTGGCTGAGTACAGCTCAGCAGAGTGGACCCCACACAGAGGTGCAGTTTGGGGAAGGAGGGGAAGCTGTTGAGAGGTGCTCAGGAGAGAGATAAGTGAGCTCAAGGAAGGGGCGTCTTCCTCCAATTGTTCTGCCCAAGAGAAAAGGACACAGGGCACCTTTGGACAACTCATCTACCCAAAGGACAACTTTCTGCAATGTGTCCCCAACAGGAGAGCCCTTTCTAACTTACACAAAGGCAACTGTGTGCTAGGCACAGTCCTGACTCCCGGGCAGGAGCTCTTTTAGCTCTGGAGCCAGAAGTGTAGGGTTAGAGTGGGTTTGCCAGGTGACAGAGGGGCTGCCTGGGTATCTGTGAATTGCAGATGAACAACAAAGAATATCCAGGAGAAGTATGTCCCCCACAGTGTGGAAGACATACTTATCCTTTAAAAATGTTATTTCATTCATCTAAAATTCAATTAACTGAGCATCCTGTGTTTTTATTTGCTAAACCTACCAGCCCTTATCTGGAGTCTGTGGTGTGTTAAAGCTCAATTGTATCTGTGCATGAGAGCTGATGGTAAGAATTTTAGGAGTTCTGTGAGACAGAAGTTAAAACACTGGCAGCTTGAGCTCAACCACAGTGGAAGCATTTGCCCCGCAGAAACTGGCATCATTGAAAAATCAGGGCTTCTGTCTTATTAGAGTTGGTTTTGAAAGACTCCCCAACACACCACTGGCAACAGGCTGCTGTCCTTGTCTTTGCCATCCTGGGTGAAGTCTGGGACTGTGTCTAGGAGTCAGAGAGCTCAGGATATTAGAAGCTGAATGTCCTATGATCTGAGGAGAAGCTATGTTGGAAAGTTAGGTCTCTAAACAAGGATGTTAGAATCTAGACTTGAGAGGGTAGGTGAGTGTTGAAAGCAGGGGCCATTAGATGTTACCCGTTTCTAACCCTTCTCATCAGGGGTCAGGGCCTGGGACCCCTGGCTAACGCCTTGGCTCAGGGCCCAAGCCGCTTTCGGGCCACAATGAAGCAGATCCCCTTGTTGGGAGCTGCGGTGGCAGAGTAGCTCTGGGCACTGTGCAGGAGCTGCTCGATGTCAAAGCCAGCATCCAGGACAGCCTGCTCCACCTCCTCCTTCGTCATGGCCAGGCAGGAGAACTCACGCTTCCCTACCATGTAGGAGGAGAGCTGCAGAGTGACGCTGGTCACCAGGTGGCCACCCGGCTTGAGCAGAGTGGCAAGGTTGCGCAGCGCAGCACGGTAGGCGGCCAGGCTGCAGCAGGCGCACTCCATGGCCAGCAGGGTGAGCACACAGTCCATGGGCGGCAGCTCCACTGGGGCCAGCGGGTTGCTCATGTTCACATCACACCTGAGCACCCTCTTCACTGTGGTCCGGAGCTTCTCAGCCTTCTTCTGCCAGTGGCTGCTGTGGAGAGACCAAAGAATTCAGAAGCCTCACCTGGAGGGTGCCAGGAAGCCCCACACACATGACCAGCAGATGGGAACCTCTGCATCCCCACAGGATTGCTCTGTGTGACCTGGGAGTAGGCCCTTTGTCAGCCTAGGCTTCAGTTTCCCCAGCAGGAGAAGATCAGGGAGAGTGGACCACAACACTTCTAGCACCTTCCTCTCTCATTGCATATGAGCCCCCTTCCCTTGTTCCCCAGGAGGGGCAAAGAACCTCAAGTGTGGTCAGAGCATCGCAAACATCATTGGATGGAAAGAGGAATGAAAGAATTTGCTACTGATAATATATGGACACAGCTGTCTTAAAAATATAATGTTGAGTGATGAACAGCAAATCCTAGAAGTTAACAGAGCAAATTATTCTATTAAGAAGTTCAAAGGTACTGTATAGACATACACAGCTAATAAAAATTATTTGCAGAAAGAAAAGGAATGAAAAATATATAATTCACATTAGTCATCTTATCAGATAGGGGAGGCAGGGAGCAGGGAACACAGGAAAAGCACAAGTTAGTCTTCTTGTGACTGGGTGTCAGGTTGGGAGATGGGTACATGTGTCATATTGTCACAGCAGGAAGAGATGATAAGGAGGAAGGAAAAGAGGGAGGGAAGGAGGAAAGAAGGGAGGAAGGAAAGAAGGGAGGAAGGAAAGTAGGGAAGAAGGAAGAAAGGAAGGAAGGAAGAAAGGAAGGAAAGAAGGAAGGAAGGAAGGAAGGAGGGAGGGAGGGAAGGAAAGGAGGGTAGGGGAGGAAAGGAAAGGAAAAAGGAGAGAGAGAAGGATGGGTCCTATCATTAGGTCTCCAGTGGCCATACCTGGCTACCCCATGTCCCAGTACCATGCTGACCCCAAGGGAGTCGGTCTACTGCTCCCCACATCCAGATGTCTCATGTATCCTTGAGGATCATGCTGCCCAGGAAATGTCAGGGACAGCTGAGAGGCCAGAGAGCCCTCTGAGGAAGGAGGTGGGCCCCTAAGCCCTCTGAGGAAGAAGGACAGGGCTCCCAAGCCCTCTCCCTTACCTGTTCCCTTCCAGCTCACAGGCAAATTTCAGCACTGAGCTCCAGTCAAAGGCCCCCGGATCCTTGCTCAGCCATTTCTGCAGCTCTTCCCTGTTTCGGTCCGTGAAGTCAGAGAGGGTGATGTCGCTGAAGGCCTCACAAGCAGCCAGCACTTGGTAGATGGTAGGGCCTGAGCCAACATCAATCAGCGTTTGCCCTCGGAGGCCCCCTGGGACAGTGAGAGATAGCCGAGGTTGGTGCAAGCAGGTAAGAGAGATGACACCCAAGACAGTCAGAGGGGCAAGAAGGACACGCACCCTGCCTTCACACAAGGGGGAACAGCTACAAGCGTGATGGCCATCACACCTGTTCGCTTCCTGTAGGCCAAGTCTGTGCTCAATATCCTATTGCATTAATTTCCTTTCACAACCCAGAACTGCTCTGTAGAGTGACTATTCTTGTTATTTCCATGTGATGGATTAGGAAACCCAGTCTTGGAAAGGTTCAACAATTAGCTCAATGCCTTTCAGCAAACAGATAAGCACTCATCTCTCCTGGACAGAGAGCAGGAGCTCCAGGCCCTGTTCTGGAGCAGACCCATGCTAGAGCGTTCTGAGCACAGCACAGGGCAGTGATACTTTCCCCGCCTTTTCCATGTTCCCTCCCTTCCTCCAGCAGCCTTTTAGTTCCAGGCTGCCTGGGGCTGGGCCTCCCTTGGATGTTCTGCCGGGATGGACTCCAGCAGGGGCCTGGGGGAGGAGGACCTGGGAGACTGCAGTGGTAAGCCAAGGGTCACCTGAGTGATGGAATGAAGCTTCGCTTCCAGCACTGCAGTAGGAGTCTGGGCTCAGGGCCATGGCCGCTCCCTGATTCTGCCTCCCCTCCTGCTTGTTCACCAAGCTCACAGCCTCTCAGCACTCTTAGCCCAGATCTCTGTGCCTCAGCCCAGTACCCTGAATGAGGATATGGCTGCCCCACCCAGGAGTACTTGAGACAACCCTAGGTCCCCACAAACAGGTGACTATCATCAGTCCACTAGAGATGGTTCAGCCAAGGCCCCTGGTGCTGAGGACCAAGCCAGCAGGTTTGTGTCGGGCTGACACCCCACCCAGCATTCTTGCACCCTGCTCTTCCAGGCCCTTGTCATCCCGATATCTAAGACACACAATCCAAATATGCTGTGATCCTAAACCTACATCAATCCCACTGTTTGCCATTGGCTTTCTCTTGCCTCAGAACAAGGCTGCACTTCTGATGATCAGGAAGCCACCCCCATTTAGCCTGAGCATCCAGGGGCTTCTGGTGAGCACTTCTGGTTTTTTTTTGTTTGTTTTTCGTACCAGGAATCAAACTCAGGACCTTGTGCTTGCCAGGCAGGCGCTGTGCTGCTGAGCTATACACTTGGCTGGAGAGGAGTTTTGGAACTGCATGATATTTACTGTTCCCCTGCACATCCTGACCCCTGGACCACACACAGTTCCAAGGTAACTGGCAGACAGACCTGACCTCCAAAACCCCAACCCCCCTGGAGGGGACCTGGCTCTCCCAGCATATCTTCTTTCTGTCCTTCATGCAGGGTCTCTGGCAAGAGGCTTAGGGGAGGGAAGGACCATCTCTGCTCACCTGGGCCAAAGGTCTGGTGGAGACACTGCAGATTAAACTTGATCATCTCAGTCTCAGGCGAGGGGCCATGCTCAAAGCTGTAGTAGGTGGCCAGGTAGTCCCTGGGCATGAAGTACTTCTGGTACTCATCAGGACCGGTGAAGCTGCTCTCCATGGTGGCCCTGAGTTCATCCTGCCTCCTGCCTGTCCTGTCTTATAAAGGTTCAGAGCTCCTGACTCCACCTCCAGGAGTTTGAGTCCTCCCCTGCTCCTCCCACGCTGGCCTGGCCTCAAGGACCGAGTTCTGGGAGGAGCAGAAGGGATCTGGATACCCTTATCCTGTTACCACACTGACACACCTCACCTGAAACTCCTCCAAATCCAGGGCCACGATGGTTACTGCAGATGCTGTGACCCTGCTTGCTATAGGGACTGGTCCATGTCCATCTCAGGCAACTGGAGGAGCTCAGCTCTTATACCTGCACATGACCTCAGGCAGGTGTCAGAGTTTCCTCATCTGTATGCCCACACCTCGGGCTCTGAGAACCAGTCATCCCCTGGGTAACAGGTGTCATGGACCTGAGTTGACAGGGAGGTCCTCATCATCCCCTGGTGGTGGACCCAGTGAATCTCCTCAGTCCAGTCAGTGGACATAGCTCCACGGACCCAGTCTTGCTGGAGATCAGAGTTCAGATTTGGGGTGAGGAGTGGGCAGGTCGGGACAGCTGGCTCCACATCACTGGGCAGGTCAAAAATCAACTTGCAGTCTCCATGAACAAGGACAAGTGTGTCCAGTCATAAGTCATAAACTGTCAGAGGAGTCGTGGCTTTCTGGTCAGACCTTAGACACGAGACCTTGGCTAAGTTAAGGCCTGGGTTAACCTCAATGTTCTTCCCTTCAGAATGGGAGTGTTTTGTAAAATTTCCCAGACACAGAAAAGCTCAACCTCCATTTTTGGCACCAAAAATAGCTCTGACTTGGCCACAGACCAGAGAGAAATGAATCCGCCACACTGGATATTCAGGCTTGTGGCCCAAATAGCGGGTGGGACAAGAATGTTTAGCACTAGCTTGAAGTAAACAGACAATTCTGACTCCCTAGAGCCCAGCAGCCTACAGCCTTCACAGGGGGAGGGTCACCCAGGAGGCACTCGCCTGGCTTCAAGCACGCAGGAATCTACAGTGTTCATGTTACAAAATTCCACTCCTTTCTCCCTTCCTTCCTTCCTTCCTTCCTTCCTTCCTTCCTTCC